TCTTTCCTATATAGCTTGCCCTTACTATCTTGTCCTTTATGTAAACACGTTTCTCCTTTCAGGGGATTCACAGGAGGACAAAAGAATGAAGATGCAAAACAGGATAAAGACGATGTACTAAACATATTCTCTGTGGCTTCAGGACACCTATATGAAAGATTCCTACGGTTAGTTCAGAATTTATAATTTGGCGGTCTCAAACAGTAATGTGCCCTGCTTTCCACAAAAAAAAAGGTTAGAGTTTGCAAGAATATAAAAAAAACAAACCACCTTTTTCAGCAGCTCAGAAGTCCTCTAGATTTTGCATCTACTGTATTATAGGAACTTTTGTCTGCATAACATTCATAGGTTCAAAATAGACTTAGTTTGATAGATGGTATGTTGCTGTCCTGAATTTTCTCACTACAATATAACCAAATACAAATGTATTGTTAAGAAGTTACAGACTAAGTCATGGTTGCTTTGGAAAAGAATCTGAACTTCTGTTCTCAAAGGACTGTGAAAGCCAACAGGTTGTATATTCTCTGATTAGTTAAAATATATAGATTTTTGGGTGTTTAGTAATTTTGTAGATAAAATTAAGCAATTTGCAATAGGCTGAAGCCACCCACTTTTTCTTCATGCATGAAGAGGAGTCACCTGACACATAATTGCAGTTAGTCTAATAATGTAAAACAGTAATTTGTAATCTGCTACACAGCTGATCTCTAGTGGGTGGTAGTTGTTCCTGTAAATGCTTTATTTTTTTTTTTTCGCTCTTTTGATAGCATAATGATGTTGTCTGTGCTGAAACATACTAAGACTCCTTTAAAGTTTTGGTTTCTGAAGAACTACTTATCACCTACATTCAAGGTTTGTTACTAATTAGAAATTTATTCTATGGTGGGGAAAAGGTTGTGGTTTGTTTTTTTTTTTTTTTAAAGATGCAGCGTGTGCATTATGCTATTGTGTAAACATACATACAGTTCCCTGTCTGTATACCTCCTGTTCGGAGAAAGCATCAAGTTGGTATAAGCTGGTGGTTCTGCTTAGAAAGCTTTGAGAAATAACAGAGGGGTTGACAGTGGACTGTGCTAAAGGTAAATATTTAAGAGAACAGCACATACTAGGAAAATCATACTTGAAAGAATCTGAACTTTTTTTTGACTCGCATGATAAAGGTGTAGATTTTAAGATTAAATTTAGGGCTATAAACTTACATCCAATACATATGGGTTGAAAGATGAGAGGAAAAAAGACTACCAGAGAAGCAATGCCTATGACTAGGTATGGAGCGAGCTTCGTAAGAGGAGACATTAAAACCGTGTTTCAGACTGACTGGAGTACATGAGCGGCGCACGGTAGAGCATGACACAGGCCCTAGATGAGTATACCTGGAAATACTTATTGATTACATGTGATGATAGATCATAAACCAGCAGGATTCAGACCAGAACCCAGAGGTAAATGGATGTCAAAACTTTCAGGAATTTGCAACTTTGAACGTTGAGTATTAGAAAGTCGCGCATCTTGCAGAATCTTACCTCTGCAGCATGAACCCGAGGGGAAAGAACGGGCAGCGTCCCTATTGCTGCAGCCCTGGGCTGTGCTGTGACTGCTGTCGTCAGTCCCCTCTTGGGGTGGTACAGCAATACGCTTCCCCCCTCCCTTCCTAATGGCCACATTGTACCGGCATCCCTTGGCTAAACCTGTACTCTCTCTGTGTCAGAGGGAGCCTCACAAATGAGAATATCAACTGATTTGACAGTGGGCCAAGTTGTTCTAGTAAAAAATTTCCCCCAGTTCTTTTCTCTCATTTTTTAATTCCCGTTTACAGTGCTTTGTACAGCTCTAAATAATAATTCTCCCATCTGCGAAATTTTATGATTTCAGTAATGCATTCTTTTAAACTGATCTGACTATAAAATGGCTCATAAGTAATTGTGTGGGGAAAAATGCCAAAATATTTAGTTGTCTTATGATAGTCGGCTTTACAGTTTGTACTGATTGTTCAGTTTGGGGTTATGTCTTTGTTTGAAGTAACAATGAAGCTGTAGTTATTCTTTGCGGTATTTCATTTTCTAATGTTCTATGCCTTATTATAGGCCTGAAGTCTATCTCTTGTAATGCACTTTTCTTTTTCCTGCAGAGGAACAAAGAACTGAGATAAGCTACTTTTTTTCCCCCCCTCCCTCTGCAGGAGTTCATCCCGTACATGGCAGAGAAGTATAATTTCCAGTATGAGCTTGTCCAGTATAAATGGCCACGCTGGCTTCATCAACAAACAGAGAAACAGCGTATCATCTGGGGTTACAAGATCCTCTTTCTAGATGTGCTCTTCCCATTAGCTGTTGACAAAATCCTGTTTGTGGATGCTGATCAGGTAACATGGAGGTTGGAATTACTCAATCTTTTCCTTTTTTCTTTCCTCTAAGAATAGTATGTTTTTAAATACAATTTCTGTGTTATTGGAAAGGTTGCAAATTTGAACCCTTCACAGGCATGAGTGAAGGTTGATTCTGTAACTATAGCATGCTTCAGTGAGTGCTGTTTTTTCTGCCTGTTCCCACAAAGATTGGTTTTGTTGGCTTGTCTTTTACTTTTGTCTGGTTCCTCATTCACTCACTGTGATTCCAGCTAGTTTGCCAAATATATTCTTGTTTCACCCTTCCATTTTTCCAGTTCTGTCTGTTCTCCCAGCCTGCAGATCACTTACCGCATATGGTATTTTCCTAAGTCACCCAACACCCTGCCCTCCCACCCCCCTGCTTTTAACTTGGCCGGGAGTGGCTTTCAGAGGAGCGAGAAGGGAAATCTCTTGTGCAAGAAGCCACGTCCTGCAGCAAAGCAAACAGTGTCTGTAAGGCTTTGCATGTGCTTACTGCCTGAACGGTTTGAAAGTACAGGATACGTGTGCAGTGAGAACTGCCAAAAAATACTCCTTCAAAAACATGTATGAAACCGAGAAGTACAGATTATCAATACATAAGTATAAAATGCCTTAGATGTTCTGGCATATGTACAGTATGATCCCATGTCAGTTAAAACCATTACAACTTACGCTAAAGTATCACCTAGGATAAATTTCCAGCTACGCTGGTCTCGTTTTAGACAGTTTTTGCTCTGTTTTATAAAAGAGATATTAATGCATTTTTTTTGCCTCACCAGAGTGGTATTTTTAGAGTAGTGTTACTGCCACAACATCTGGGTCAAAAAGACCTTAAGAAGCCTTCATCCCTGAAGGGTCTGCAAACTTGCAAGAGGAAATGATAGAAAGGATTACAGTAGAGTTCATGTATAGTGAAAATTCTTGCTGCTTATTAAGCAACAATTTGGCACTTTAGTTGTCAAACCAACCCCTATCCAATTATTTTAAGCTCTATTTTAGTTGCTCCAGCTCTAAGGGCAGGGAAGACAACACATTTTGTGCTGTGTTTTTGCACTACATATACCTAATGCAAAAGACCGCAGAGTATAACAGCTAATTCTTCCTTTAACTGTTTGCTCAGTTTAAATTAAATCTTGACCAGCATTTCGAAATAACCCATGGCAGGCTTCTACAAATAAAAATAAAATGTCCTTTCCCTTCAGATTGTGCGTACAGATCTAAAGGAATTAAGAGATTTCAATCTAGATGGTGCTCCTTATGGATATACTCCATTCTGTGACAGCCGAAGAGAAATGGATGGCTACAGGTTCTGGAAATCGGGATACTGGGCAAGCCATTTAGCTGGAAGAAAATATCACATCAGGTATCGAAGAATTCCGTTTTTTCAATACAGAGGGGGAAAGCTTTTGCTGCTGCTTAGAATTAGGAGAAAACTAGCTGAGGTACACAATGCTGCAGTGAATCACTTTTTGCTTACTGTTGCCTCTCTAAGGTTCCATTGCCTATGGTCCATTTGAAGCACCAGGGACACTGAAGTTACTTTCAGTATGGGACAACTTTTAGAGATGAAGTGAAGTGTTAACTAACCAGATATCTTCATTTGTTAATAACAAATGTTGGAAGAAGGGACTGCATGACAGCAAAGTTAAGATAGATTTGTTGAAATTCTTTTTCATATGTGCCATGACCTTGTTAGAACTGCTTTCCTGCCTTGTATTAGATAATTTCATGTACTGCCACCAAGAGATTGTTTCAGCGTGTTGTATCTAGGGGTCTACTGTGGCTGCAGTAAGTTACCCTTAAGTTACAGTAAGTCGGTCAAATGTCATTACTAATTGCATCATCTCCATGTAGTGCTCTGTATGTTGTGGATCTGAAGAAGTTCAGAAAGATAGCAGCTGGAGATCGACTCAGAGGACAATATCAGGGTCTTAGTCAGGATCCTAACAGTCTGTCCAACCTTGATCAGGTGTGTTTTTTATTGTGTTTGTTTTGTTGTACTGGGGTACAATGGCAGGTCTGGGACCTCTCCTTTCCTGGCCAAACTTCAATCACAGCCAGATGCCAGTGGCAGTCCCATTACACCCTGCCTTCAAATGAGGCAGGTATTGATAGCATCAAATCTAACTGGTGGGTAGAAGCAACGCCTTCCCCTTAAATGTCTTAGGACTATCAAATTTTCCAGTATACTCCAAGACAAATACATAACACAACCAGGTACTTGTTTCTTGAGCTATTCAGCTCTGATGCTTTACTGTGTGCTAACTTAATTACATGGAAATAAGGCTTGTACTGTGGCAAATGGAAAAAATAACACAATGGTTTTAATCAATTAAGAATAGTCTTCCAAAATGGGCCAGCACAGGTTTGATACTGGATTCATATTACTGCTTTAATACTGTTTGCTAAATGACTAATTTTCAACAAAGTAACATTGACAGTTGTAGTATGCAGGTTTTTTTCCAAAGGACTTTGTTTGGAATGGAATGAAGGGTTGATTCATCATTTTTTATTTGCAATGTAAAAAAACAAAAACAAAAACAAAACCCCACAACTTTACAGAAGTTAAATTTCTCAGTATGATCTGGTGGGGGGGGGCTGTTCTTCCCACCCTGCAGAAGCTGTTACTAACCCTTGTTCTTCACAACAGGATTTGCCAAACAATATGATCCACCAGGTGCCAATTAAATCACTCCCACAGGAGTGGCTGGGGGGTGAAACATGGTGTGATGACTCCTCAAAGAGGAGAGCAAAAACCATTGATCTGGTAAGTGCAGTACAGCTCCCCCATTCTTATGTCACAATAAAATACAGCAGCCAATTTTAGAGGCACTTCCCTACCTCAGATCTAGGCACCTCATCCTGTATTGTTACTTAAATGTTTTCAGCACTTCAGTTTTTTCCTTTTAGCTTCTCCTTCACCTGGACCAGTGGCATTAAATTTATGAATTTGGAAAGAGACTTTACACTGTAGTCCAGCTAAGGTACAGGCATCTGTTCACCAACAACAGATTAATTCCACCAGGGGGAAGCATACCTCTAGTCAGTAACTAAACCTTTGTTACACATTAAGTGTCTGAACAATTCCTGTGTTTTGTTTGCAGTGTAATAACCCAATGACCAAAGAGCCCAAGTTGCAAGCAGCGATGCGTATAGTTCCAGAATGGCAGGACTATGATCAAGAAATCAAACTGCTCCAAGGTCTTTTCCAGAAAGAAAAGGAAACGGGAACACCAGCTAAGATGCCAGGACACCACACACACGGTAATCTTTGTGACTGTTTCTGTTTCCCTAGTTCTGTGACTCTCTTCCTACCTGTTTGGACTGGCTTTAAGTTGCACACTCATTCACTGTAAGCTTGCACCACACAAAGGCTTGCATGGAGGATCTGGTAAATAATCTGTATGTTTTAATGGGACAGAAAAGCCTTGCTAAGTGAGGCTGGTGTAACTTAACTGGATTCTGGAACTTAGAGAACAGAGCTATATTGCACACTTGTTCCAGTTCTGTTAAAGACCCTCACTGGTCCTGCAATTTTATGAGCTTGGCCTTATCTTAACCCTTAATTAAAGCACCTCTATACACAATGGGTATGAATTGTTCTTCAGTCACCGGTAGCCTTGCGAAGAACAATGCTTTGGAGTTTATATACTAGTTTTCATATCTGCCAATTGAGGCAGCTGGAAATGGAGTGCTCATTTTTCTCTCCTCTTCTACAGATCCAGCAGCACATGTGGAATTATGATCCATGGAGAAAAACTCAAGTTAGACTGTTTCATAGACAATTTTTATATTGAAAGCTAGTTTTTTCCAGTATGTCTGCAAAACTGCTGAATAATTGAATGGGATGATGTATGCATTTTTATTACTTGCCTTTGGGTTAATTTCTGCATATGAAATAGGATCTGGATTGCTGGAATTAGCATTACTGTGTTTTTGCACCTGTGGTGGAGATGAAAGAGCCCATGATGGAATTTAGCATTTCAGAAACAAAACTTCAAAATCCACTGGAAAAGCCACAGCCTGTTCCTTCAGCTGTTGCTACCTCCACCACTGATGAAGATCCTGTTAGCCTCAGATCTAACTTGAGAGCCTGGAAATCGCAGACCCAGTGAGCTGTGGGCTAGAACAAAAGTCCTAACCTCATCCAATGGAGATAATGTTTCCAGGTAACATTAAAAGGCTCAGACTCATCCCTTGAATTTGGGATACTGTTTCATCTGCAGGTTTTCAAACGGTCAGAAACGCTTCTCAGATTTGTTCAGTATGCCCTTGATTTTGTAACAAATCCAGCATTACTTAGATTTTCTATTTCCTATCTTTGTTTATTGCCCAACTTTTGAAGGTTTGGCTTAATGTAAAGCTACCACAATCTGTTTAAATGCCCATCCAAATACAAATGCCTAAGCTTACAAAGTGAGCAGAACATTGAATTTGGCAGCTCAGTTCATTTTCGCCCCTCTGACTTGAAACAAAGTGCCCTCCTTCCTTCCTTCCTGCTCAAAGTTTCAATCAGCCTGCAAAACTGATAGGGCCTTACTGTTGCTGTGGTTCACTGATTCATGAATGTTTTTTGTTTATGAAAAAAATCTGTGGAAACTTGGAAGCTTATCATCATGTAAATTTCATTAACTTTATTTTTCTTCAAACAGAGACCTTGTCACCTCAATAAAAACAACTTTGGAGTTCTTAGGTCTTAAGCTTTAGTTCAGTCAGTCCTTTGATCATCCGTTTTGCTTGCACACATTACAGTCCTAACTTGATCTTGGGGTTTCCGAATATTTCACCTGCATTTGTTTTCATTCTGTGCACAGACAAGAAAACATTTTCCTGCAAGGATTAATTACCCTGAGCTAGTTTTATTATTCATATTCACGTCTTAATTCTTAAAAGATGATACTGCCATAGGTCTGTGTTATGAACATACCAACTTAAAAAAAAATAAAATCCTCAAACCCCATTTCCCTCATTCTGTAGGATTACCGTCTGTTCCCTAGAACACTGAGTAGTTGAAGAGTTGAAATGTGAGAACTAAAATAGTATTTCTAGTAGTAAAATACAACTCCCTATGCACTGCTGCTTTAGAAATCCAAACTGGGATCATTTCTGCCTCCCATGTTTTTATACAGATAAATGTTCTGTGCTCAAAGAGCTTCACACTACAGATAATCCTGACTTGACTTAAGACATTCTTCTAGAATTGTTGTATTATACATCCTATAAATGTTTTGGAGGATTCTGAAAGACAGCAGTTGTAGTGTTCAAACTGTTCAACAGGGCAACTGAACAGAAGAGCAGCTCTCCTCCAGGCAGCTAAGGAATGGGCCCAAATCGGTAACCCAAACTCTTGAAAAAACATGTGAAAGGAAATAGCCAAGGTCCCTTAAACACACATTGCTAGTGCTGTTGACAAGGTCAATAAACTGATCAGTAACACCACACATACACTTCTGGTGGGTTTCAGAAGTGGGTCATTCTAGAGAGGTATTGGAAAGGACAGTTTATAATTGCCCCCTCTCCAGAGGGAAAGCTATGCGAACAGGCAGGGGGCTGGATATCAAACTATGAATTTAGAGAGTATGAGTTATCAGCTTAGGTATTTTCCACTTCGTGGGTTTTTAAATTCAGATAGTCTCCCTGATGCTCTGGAAGTTAGAACCAGCTTATGTTTCCTATCCTTAACTGGAACAGTTTGATGAACAGACTTATACTAGAAGGATTTTTTTCCTAGTGTGAAAACTAATAATATGCCTGCCAACAAATTAAAGTAATTGGATACTATGTTAATTAGCCTGTTTTAAACAGGTAAGATAGCACCTGTAAATCACCCTTTCTCTGTTCAGCTACAAACCACTTCAGCCTCTTTAGAGCACATGGACTAGCAGAGGATGAGGTGGGCAGCAGCTGTACACCAGTTCCATCCAGGGATGGCCAGGGGCAGGAGGGGAGGAGCCCTCAGGATGGATGGTGCATGGGTGGGGAAAGAACCTGCCCAAGCCCTCAGAACAAGGAAAGCACAAGTTTTCTGTGAAACAAGACCCTCTTCTATCTAGAGCCATATTTGGCACTTTATTCTCTGTCTTCTGGCTTCTAATAATATTTGGGGAAAAAAAAAAGTAACCTCTTAAATTCAGCACAGTATTTACAATGCCTTGCTTGGAGTTGAGTAAGGAAAAAATATTTTTAAATTAAATGTCAGTTACAGATTTAAGTTATGCTCCCCCATTCTCATAGTGAACATATGCACTTGAATACCCACACTGCGTACCTTTTTTTTTTAAATTATAAGATCTAGCAGCAATGGAGAGTATTTTTGTTCCCTTGGGTTAACAGAAATCAGGCTCTTCTGTTCAGCTCTTATTTTTTTAAAAAAACCAAACCACTCACAATTGATATACAAAGAAACCAGAAACATGTATTGTGAAATTTTGTACCTTTTGCAGTACTCTTAAGAGTCTTGTACCTGTTCTCAAGTACATTATAAAAGGCACATGATACTAATAATTCTGAATGTGAACTATGCCAGTTTTTCCCGGGAAGCCACTATTTATTTGCACACAAGAATAACAATCATAGAGCAGGACAGTCACTTATTTTGCATCTGTTCATATGCTTGCTCATAGCACTCAGATGGGCCTTAAAAGAAAAATCTTTTGAGAGCTCTATCCAGAAAACATCTCAGAGTAAGGTGATTACTGAAAGAGAGCTGTTGCTGATCATACCACTGATGGCCTGTTCCTGTGAACTAGTAAGACTGGTAAGAAAAAATAGAAAATGGAGATTACAGAGGTCACAACATAGTTCCTTTGGACTAGAAAGGCCATTTCTGTGGTGAAGTGATGACACTTCCCAATGTCTGGATACAAGCAGCTTGTCCTCTTGGTGAGAAGTTCATACTGAAAAATGCCCAGTATTTTATTTTAAAAGGAAGATTCCAACTGCCTTATGAGAAAAAAAAATAGCAGAGAAATATGTTTTTAAGATTTCTCTCTCATTTAGCTATCAGGGGATGGGTTGTAAAGGAAATGAAAGGGGTGGGACATATACAAAACAGTAAATATCCAATCACAATCTTAGGAACCAAAATTTTTTTTAATATAAACTGTTTTGCATATCCAAATCTTCTGTCATCTGTTCAAGAACATACCACAACTCAGTGCAGCACTGATACCTACTGACCCAAGATATTGGGAGTTACTCTCTATTGAGTGTTACCTGAACTGAGATTACAGTGAGTTTCCCAGTACAGTGGCAACAATAAAATCTGTCTAACATAATAAAGCCTTTTCTGTTATTTACCCATGTCTCTCCTGTTAATTACTTTGGGTCTGATAACTGATGTTTTAATGGAGTTGCTTAGAGTACATTTTTCACCTTTTCTTGTATTCAAATGTTGGGATACCATTGAAAAGCTTCAAGAAGGGAAAAGTAAAGAGTTCCTCTTCCAAGCCAGCCTTGTTAATCATGGTATTAAAGTAACCCCGGAACAACAGAAATATTTCATATTTAAGGTACATTTATACCCTGTCTTCAACTCTACACCTAATAATAATGAAAAAAAAAGATGCTTCTATGTCAGCTTTCTTCATCTGATTAAGTTTTACACTGATACATTCATAGTAAGCACTCAGAGAAGTTAGTGTTTCTCTAATACTTCCACTACAAAGCTGTGTCTGGGTCTCTTTCAGAGTTGGGAATGAATTCCAAACAACTCCTATGGGATGCTGAGAAAAGCTTCTCAACCAGAACATCTTTATTAATCAAAGAGCTATAAAATAGACAGTTTTACACAGAAAGCTCAGTTGAATGCCGCAGAAATATGTATTTAGTTTCCTACAGTTGGCTGTTTGACCTTGCTCAGGTTTGGAAAATGAGAACAAATCCTAGGAGACAGCTAAAAGGGGAAAAGGAAGCAGCCAGAAAGAATAAATACATGCCATGTGCCTATTGGCTCCTCAGCCTACAAGGGATTTTGCACCACTACCCCCATTTAATTTTCAAAGTACATATTTTTGCATGTGACTGTACATCGATACACAGGTTTATGTCTGAGACTGATTTCCCCCCACCCCAAAAGGGCTAGTTTAAATGAGAAAAACTCTGGTGGCTGGAGGGGGAGATGGAAAAAGTAGTTTTGAACCTTTTTCTACAAACTCCAATTTTTAAAATTGTATTAGCCTGAATACAACGGATTGTTTGACGGGCAAATGGTCCTGTTCCTCTCCACCCCCACCCCGTCAACTCTTACTAATACACGCCTGTAACTTCAGCCATACACCATATATAGTTCAATGTACACGTGTCAGGAGGCACATTGCTCCAGCTGGGACCACCAGGCACATGGTGCAGGACATCTCCTTCAGTGCTGAAAGAGGCCAAGGGAGCTGCTGTAGAAGCCCACTGTGTTCTGGCTTGTCTCTGGACTTCTTGCCACACGTGCAAGGCATTACTCAGTCTCCAATCTGCCCATTCACTTCCTCCACAGCAATCAAGTAATTTCCAGCACCACTGTCTAGCTCCCATCAATCAGCAGAGCCAGCTTTTCCAGTGCAAGACTTGCTGCCCTGCTTTGAATTAATAGCCTGGGGAGACTCAGTCATCACAGGGCACTAAAATAGAGAGGCTGAGGTGGGGACTGCCCACCCCACCCTCTGCTGAGGCTGCAGCCACAGGAGGCGCCAGCCACAGTCTATGCTACAGGCAGGTACCAGCGTGTCCACAATGCAGCCCCATACCAATGGGTATCACCACCATCCAGTGTGTATCACCTACCGCTGTGCTCTTGCAGCATCAGAACAAGTTCCCGCCACTCAGGCTTTCTTCAGCCTGAGATGTCTTTCACTGCAAAAGAAGTTACACCTAAATTTCTGCTCAGTCATTCTACATACTAGTTAGTGGCAAGCCAGAAGATTTGGGGGAGGGGGACGACGACACGGACAGACGGGACACAGATGATGACAGGGATGGGGGACTGATACAGAGAACTTACAACAAGAAACAGAATTGCAGTTGAGGAAAACCCAGTTTGTTTCTAGCTTGTTTCAATTAGGAGACAGCAAGCACTGTAGGATGCTTGTTTTCTCTCACAGTCTTGTTTAAAGGAAAACAGGCAGTTGAAAAGCAGAGGTCCACAGTTACCCAAGAGCATCATGAGGTGCAAGGGTACCTGCAGAACCAGAAATACACACCAGTGGCAGCCCCTTGCCTCTGGCATCTCAGATCCAGACTCTGTGAAGCT